AGCAAAATATTAGCAAATTGAATTCAGTTAATATAAAAAGTATGATCCATCATGACCAAGCATATATCCAAGAAATAAAAAGTTGCTTTGATATTCAAAAATTAATATAATACACTGATTAGAGAATAAAGAAGAAAAACAATATGACCATCACCATCTCAACCAACACAGAAAAAGCATGTGACAAAATCTAATACTCATTCTTGATAAAAATCTAACAAAGGGCATCTGCAAAAAGCACATGGGTAACATCATACTGGTAAAAGACCAAGTGTATCTTACCTAAAGTCAGGAAGAAGACAAGCAAATCTGCTCTTACCACTTTTCTCAATTTTGTATTAGAGGTCTTAGCCAGTGTAATAAGACAAGGAAAATAAATAAAAGGCAATATAGAAAAGAAGTACAACTTTCTTTATTCTCAGAAAATATGAATGGGAATGCAGAAAACCTTAAGTAATCAGTAAGAGTTACTTCAACTAAAAAATTAGTTAAATTAGCAAGGATGCAGAATACAAGGTCAATATAAAAACCAATTGTATTTCTAAATACTCAGGAAATTGATTTTAAAAAACAAAACCCAAAAACCTACTCACAATGGCATCAAGAAAAACATTACGAATTTAGTGATATATTTAACAAAATATGTGCAAGACCCAGAAAAAACTAAAAAGTGTTGGCAAGAAAAAACTACAGAAAACCTAAATAAGTGGAGAGATATAACATATTCACAGACTGGAAGACTCAATATAAAGATGGCAATTCTTCAAAAACTGATCTATAAATTTAGAGCAATATCAAGCAAAATTCTGGCAAAGAACACACAAAGGACCTACAATAGACAAAGCAAGCTTTAAAAAGAAAGACGAAATCAAAGGTACTACCTCATTGTAAGACCTACTATAAAGTTACAGTATGATATTGGCATAAGGACAGGTATATAGGGAGCAATGAAATGCATTAAGTGTCCAGAAATAGACCTCCATCAATATGATAAATTGATTTTCAACAAAGGTGCCAATGTAATTCAATGTGAAAGGGTAGTAATGCCAATAAATAATGCTGGAACAACCAGAAATTCAATTGAGAAAAGGTAAACATTGACCCTCTCCTCACATTATACACAAAAATGAATTCAAACGGATCAAAAGCCTAAATATAAGAAATAAAATCATAGAACTATAGAACAGGCCAGATGCAGTGGCTCAGCCTGTAATTTCATCACTTTGGGAGGCCAAGGTGAGAGGACTGCCTGAGCCTGGGGGTTCGAGATCAGCCTGGACAACTTGGTGAGACCTCATCTCTACAATAAATCAAAAAATTAGCCAGGCGTGGTGGTATGTGCCTGTAGCTCCAGCTCTTGGAAGGCTGAGGAAGAAGGATTGCCTGAGCCCAGCAGGTCGAGGTTACAGTGGCCGTGAGAGTACCACTGCACTCCAGCCTGGGAGACAGAGTGAGACTCCAACTCAAAAAAAAGAACTTGTGGAAAAAAACACAGGAAAAATATTTTTGTAAACTTTAGGCAAGCAAAGATTTCTTAGAAGATAGAAAGCACAAACCATAAAAGAAAAAAAATAAATTGAATTTCATCAAAATTTAAAGCTTCTAAGCTTCAAAACCCATCATTAAGAACCATTAAGAAAATAAGGACAACCCCTTTGGGGCCCCTCCCAGTGTGGGAGGTTTTCTGTCCTCTCGATAAATCCTGCTTTAAAAACAAAAACAAAAGACACTCCATAGACTGGGAGAAAATATTTTCAAAACATATATCTAACAAAGGACTTTTATTCAGAGTATATAAAGAACTCAGTAAGATAGACAGGCAACCCAATTTTTTTTTAATGGACAAAAGAGTTAAATAGACATGTCTGGGTGGGATTGGCAGTTGAGGAAAACTGCCAGAGGAGGGAGTGACATACCTCATCAACAAGGGTGCCTGCATAGTGATATATGCATACCTAACCCTGAATTGTACCCCACATCTTTTAAATAAATAAATAGACATATCACAAGTGACAATAGCTGAATGGACAAGAAACACACAAAAAGATGTTCAGCAACACTGATTATTTTAAAAAATACAAATTAAAGCCATAAGATTTCTAGAATGGTTGAAATAAAAAAGACTGAGCATTAACAAATGACAGCAAGGATGTGGAATAAATGAGACTCATACATTGCTGGGAAGAATCCAAAGTGATACAGTCACTGTGGAAAAGATTGGCAGCTTCTTGGAAAGTAACTATACATGTGCTATATGGCCCAGCACTTCCACTCCTAGATACTAATCCAAGAGAAATGAAAGCATATAATTTACATCAATGTTCAGAACACCTTTATTTTTAACAGTCAAAAATCAGAAACAACTCGAATGTCCATAAACATTTGCAGGAATGGATAAGCAAACTGTGTTATATCTAATATACCTCAGAGGGGAAAAAAGAACATGGATGAATAACAAAATCAACATGTTAAGTAAAAGAAGCAGACACAACAGGGTTCTCAGCGTATTATTCCTTTTGTACAATATTCTAGAAAACACAAAACTATAGGGATAGAAAGTAAATCCTGGTTGTAGAATGCAGTATGAATTAACTGCAAATGCTCAGGATAAACCTTTTAGTGTAATAGAAATATTCAAAAATTGATTGTCATGGTAAACAATTTTATACATAAAACGTATTCAACTGCACACTTACAACAGGTAAATCTTATGCTATCTGAATTACACCTTAATAAAGCTATTTAAGCTGGGCTCGGTGGCTCAGCCTGTAATCCTGCGCCTCGGGAGGCTGAAGTGAGTGGATTGCCTGAGTCCGTGGATTCGAGACCCGCCTGGACAACCTGGCAAGACCTCATCTCTACAATAAATCAAAAATCAGCCGGGCGTGATAGCGCACGCCTACAGTTCCAGCTACTTGGAAGGCTGAGGCGGAAGGATCGCCGGAGCCCAGCAGGTCGAGGCTGCGGTGGCCAGGAGCGGCCACTGCACTCCAGTCTGGGCGACAGAGTGAGACTCCAACTCAAAAAAAAAAATAAAAAAATAAAACTATTTTAAAGGGTAGTTCAATTAATATCTATTCTATTTTTCTTTTCCATTACAATTTAAATCCTTATAGGCAGCTTTCATCATGATGATCATAAATACGTAGGGTTTTTGCATTGTTTGTTTTTTTCTGAGTCGGCATCTCACTCTTGTTGTCTAGGCTGGAGAGCAGTAGCATGATCACAGCTCACCATCATCTCCAGCTGCTAGGCTCAGGCAATTCTTCCACCTCAGCCTCCCAAGTAGTTGGGATTCCAGACAAGTGACACCACACGAGGCTAACTTTTTTTATTATTAATTTTTTTTTTTTTTTTAGAGACGGGGTCTCACTATGTTTTCCAGATGGTCTTGAACTCCTGGGCTCAAGCAATCCTCCCACCTCAGCCTCCCAAAGTGCTGGGATTACAGGAATTACACCCATCAGTCCTCATCACCCCAAAGTAGCTTGTCATTTAACAGCTTGATCTTCCTATTCTCTGGTCTCACTAACACCAGGAAAGTTCTCTTCCACTCTCTTCATTTATTTAATGTAAATCTTCCCTGCCAGGCTAAGCCCCATGAAGACTGGGACCAGAGATGTTTTGTGCACTGCTGAATCCCCAGCACATAGCATACTATATAGTATATAGTCTAATTAAATGCAAAAAAATAGAAGCTACTACCAGGTCTAAGCTACTAACAAGACAACCAACAATGACAATGAAATATATGGAAATCATATATAAAAACATTCAGGCCAGGCTCGGTGGCTCAGCTGGTAATCCCACGCCTTGGGAGGCTGAAGTGAGTGGATTGCCTGAGCCCGCAGGTTCAAGACCCGCCTGGGCAACTTGATGAGATCTCATCTCTACAACAAATAAAAAAAAAAAAATTAGCCGGGTGTGGTAGCACATGCCTGCAGTTCTGGCTGCTGGGAAGGCTGAGGCGGAAGGATCGCCAGAGCCCAGCAGGTCCAGGCTGTGGTGGCCGGGAGCGGCCACTGCACTCCAGTCTGGGTGACAGAGTGAGACTCCAACTCAAAACAAAACAAAACAAAACAAAAACAACAACAACAACAAAAAAAAAACATTCAAAGGACTTTTTACCCAGAGAAAGTATTTATGGATGATGAACCACTAAGGGAAATCAAACCTATCTTAAAAAGATCAATTACATAAAAAAGATATAGCTGACAATACTGAAACCTGAGATGAGGAATTGACTTCTGCTACTGACTAGTGGCTTTACTTAATGTACTTGGGCCTCCATTTTTTTCCTCAACAATAAATTAAAGAAGTTTGACTTTTGGGGTTCTGAACATTCTATTTCAATCTTTCACATTCATTTGTATGTCTAATAGTGCTCTAGAATGTAGAAAGTAACCCAAAAGGGTGTTATATGATGACAGACTAAAGCCCTAAAGCTGTCACAATCTGAACCAACTTACCTTACAAAAAAATATAGTCAAAGTCTACAAGATCTAGCTGAGCTTTATGAATGGTTGGACTACATCAGAGTTCAACAAACTATGAGCCCTGAGACAGTTACTGTTTGTGTAAAGTTTTACTGAAACATAGCCATATCATTTACTCAAGTATTGTCTATGGTTGCTTTTCTGCTACAATAGCAGAGCTCCATAGTTGTTTCATGGCCCACAGAGTCTAGCATATTTATTATCTGGCAGTTTACAAAAAAGTTTGATAACCCTGAACTGAATTATCTATAAGGTTCATTTTATATATTCTTATGCACTAACAAAGAAAAGAGCTGCAGTAAAATGCTCTTAATTGGAGGACAGGGATAAATAAGGAAAAAAGAATGAGAAGAGAGAACAAGTCAAATATGATTTCAATTCATCTGCCAATGGTTACACTAACTTCTCTTTTTAAGCAAGTAAGATGGCTTGTTTTCCAGTCACCAAAATCTTCTATTCCAAAAATACACAAGGCAAAACAAGCATTAGAGACTTAACACTCACCTGCCTTCCTTAACTTTTTCTGCATTCCCTCGACATATGTAATTTTCAATATAACCATCACTGCAGTTGAATTTTGACAAATCTGGGTCACAAACATCCAAGAAGTGAGGCCGCAGTCTGCCTATTGAATACTTGGCAATGTCAGTCAGGGACTGACTAGCAGCTGCACCAAATAAAAATGTTCCGATGGCTTTGTAAATAGTGGCTATGTAGTTATTCCTGATAAAGGAATTTGAATGCAACAGGTTAAAGTAAACAGACAGGGTTTCTCCAAGAATCATCTGAAAAAAGAAACAGAAAAATAATATGTTAAAGTAGCAAGCAAGCACTTTAAACAAAACACAGAAAGAAAATGGTAAATCACAGTAAGATCTTTGGTTTAAAAACAGCCCACAACTTTTTTTTTCTTTACAAATAGTTAACTTAGGGTATCTAATTCTAAACCACACACACAAGGAAGGTGTCAGGTCAATTGTAGACACTGCTTACAAACCCATGACTGAGTCAAAATCATTTCATAGCCTATCTGAAACAACAAGACCTTATTTATCTTATTGTATTCAAATAAACTGAGCTTTCATAAGTAGACAGTGATATATCCTGGAGGTTTAAAAACCATGGCTTGTTTAAAAACACACAAGCTTCTCCAATCAGAAATTCCTTTAATAAGTACTTTTAAAGCCTGGCATGGTGGCTCACACCTATAATCCCAGCACTCTGAGAGGCTGAGGCAAGAGGACTGCCTGAACCCAGAGGCCCAAGACCAGCCTGGGCAACTTGGGGAGACCTCATCTCTACAATAAATCCAAAAAAAAAAAAATTAGCCAGACATGGTGGCACATGCCTGCAGTTCCAGCTACTTGGAAAGCTGAGGTGGAAGGATCGCCTGAGCCCAGCAGGTCAAGGCGCGGTGGCTGTGAGCATGCCACTGCACTCCAGCCTAAGCAACAGAGTGAGTCACCCAACTCAAAAAAAAAAAAAAAGTACTTTTATCTGACAGATTCTTAATTTTTCTCAAACATTCCTCTGAATCAAAGACATTCATCATATTAAAAAGGGTAAACAGTTTCAGGGAGTACAAAATCTAATATGAAAGCCAGGATCTAACACTGATGCCAATGGGTAAAAAGGGCATAGATTTATTTGGCAGGGTCTACCAGTCCTGTCTTCCAGGAGATCTTTAGAGGGAAACTGAATCCTGAGTTTAAAGATATGACAAGGTTTCCAAACACTATACAAGTTAACAAACCAATATCCTGAAAAGTCAAAGAACACTGAATGGTAACAGTATAAACAGTAACATTTGCTGATTAAATACATGTAAGACAATAAAAAGCTAGCTACCTGAGACAAAAATAAACACTTAAAGAACAGTTCCCTTGCTAATCTGTAAGAAGGGAATATAAGTAACAAAGTTTCACTTGAGATACTGTTTCATCTTAATTTACACAAATAATTTTATAAAGCATTCAAACATTTCCACTGAATCAGAATTAACTGTCTTCGAGCTTTACCATAAGTGAAATAAATGATTGTTTCCTGAAAGGTAAGAACCTGATACCAAAAATTATTTCCTCATCTGGCTCACTGGCTCCTAGAATTCCATAATTAGAATAGTGTATCTTGGACAACTAGACTATGACCTCTACAAAAGCAAAAAAAAAAAAAAAAAAAAAGTTTCTTAACTGTTGAGAGCCGGCTCAGTGGCTCAGCCTGTAATCCCGCGCCTTTGGGAGGCTGAGGTGAGTGGACTGCCTGAGCCCACG